AAAAGGCTGGGACAGAGGGACGTACGGGAAGACAGTCGTACCTCCCTCTGTCCCAATATTTTGTGCAGTCAGCATTTTGAACAGTAGGCACCATCTAGGTCAAAACCAAGTTCTCGTGAAGCTTAGCGATTACAGTGGAACACCGGCTATCTGACTTTCAGGGGACCAGGCCAAAACCTTCGTATAATGGAAAACTAGGAATATAGACAATGACGCTCACGCTTTCTCAAAAAAACGGGTACAGACTGCCTGAATAAGCCCACAGAATGACCTTGTGCCTTTACATGGAAGGTTGATTATTGATTCTTGCCAGTGGCAGCTAATGGCAGCATTGCTAAGTTAAAAGAGGTGTGATCGAATCTTTATTCTTAACCATAAAAAAATCTAATCCTTTACACATATTTCTAGTGATTGCTTGGGCGGGAGAAACGAAACCGATACCGGCTTTGCCAACAGCCTTCAGTCAAGAGTTGGGCAGTGTCATCGCTATCACATAATGGGGACGGACCACGTGTTTGTGTAGAATCCATTCAAGTATGACTGAGTTTGATTGATTGATTGATTTATTGTTTGATTGAACGTTTATTATCATTTGTCAAATGAGGTTTACAAACACTGATTGGACCCATAGCCTGAGGCTAGTGTAGGGTCCAATGAGAAAAGTAATGGACAGAAGCAGGAAATATCAATTACACATAATACATATGTAGCTATACAAACACTGTAAATATACACATATACAGAGTAGAAAAGTCTTTCTCTTCTTAAACAATCTGGTCACACCAAACAAAACTGCATGTGCGCATACAAAAGGTTATGACAGATAACTTCGTGGACACTATATGACAGATAACTTCGTTGTGCGCATTGTAAATTTGTTGCATAGCGAAGTGCAACTATTGGTGGTATCCCGCTATTATAACGTTGACATCAAGTGATAGTAACTTTGCATGATGAAAAGAGCTGTGTCACGCCCTTATGCGTGTGCAAGCCTGTGACTGTGAGTGCGACAAAGGCTGGTGATCAGCTGTATGTTGACCAGGAAAAGTTTCCACACACTGAAAACCTGAAAATATCGGTTTTTAGTTTTCGACCAGTTGAAGCTACTCTGTGTGGATACAGCTGCACTAGATAAGAACCCCTAATATGGACCCACATGATCGAGGTGTACATAAACCACATGAACTTCCAGGACACTAAATTCTCTAGCAGCAGAACATGTAACACACATTTGTGTAAATATCATACTGTGAGATACCATAAATGTTTTATTATTGGTGGTAGCTCTTGTGTTGCTGCTCAGCGTAAATATAAGCTGCATGTTTACACTGAACGTTTATATTAGCCTTGTGCGCAACAAGCCTCAATTGATTCGCATGCAGAGGTGTTATGTGGGGCACATCAAACAGAAATTTTGACTTTGCATGCTCATGAGCTGCAAGCGATGTACACATGTTGCTTTGCTTGGTCAACGTCTCTTCATTTCTGTGACATCCAGTGCAATGCCTGCTTTCTCACAGGGAGCCGTCTGTCTACCTTATTTTGCGGAGTGGTCGTGTTGCACACTACATGATAGGTAGCACTGCTTGCATCATACGTGCTTTCGAGAATTTTACCCCGGAGATGTGATTAGCATGTTTCCCACTCGAATATCATAAGTCTGTCTGATTTGTTCCTACGCGCCCCCCTTTTTTTTTTTGTGCTCAGTTCAAAGCATTGCCTGCCACCGCATCACAGCACAGCGCATGCAGTAGCATTGCAGTGACGCTTCCTCTTTGGTTGCCCTCAAAGTGCCACGATCGGTGACATGCTATCTTAAAGCACCATATCTTTTAGAAAGGCAGATAAACTGCCAATAACGTTAACACAAGAAATGCAATAAGTCGCCCCACGGATCTGTGCACAAGTGATAAAAAAACTACTTCATATTAAGACTGTTATGAAGGCTTGGTGATGTGCGAGAGTGAGAAAGGGCTAGAGTAGAAGGTGGTGTACAACTGGATCAGGAGCATCTGGCTGGCATTGATAAAAATATTTAGAGGAAGTGTTGGTTTGGTCTCGCAAGTAAACTGCAAAAATAATCAAACCGAATTTGAAATTGTGGTTTTGTGAGAATGGGAGGGGGGTACATTTACCACCGGGAACAACTCTCACTATGATTGTGAACATATACGATCACAACTGGTGTAGTATGGTACGATGCAGGCGCTGTGAATTGTCTGGACAACCGAAGTGACATTAGAACTAGTGCAGTGATGAAAGTGATCCTCCGATTCACCTTTTCCACGATGCCACGGCGCATGCGCTCTTCCCCAGCGCAAAAGTCTAGTAACAACTGGTCTCAGAGGCCTTCGTTCTAGCAATGCCAGTTCTTCCAGCCCCTACCAAAACACCAGATGACACCACTAGAAAATGGAAAAGGCGGATTGCTCCAAACAGTTCCAGATTAGGAATGCTGTTCCATGCAGTAATTTTAAAGACGATAGTCTTTCTTGGTGACCTTTGACGCAAACATTTTGGTCTGTCTGCCTGCCTGTACTATTGTCTTTCCTTTCTTAATGGCTTCAGGTACTTGAAACTGTCGACCCCATCCACAGCGCCCACCTAAATTGCTCAAGGTTGAGCGTTCATGCTTGTGGAATTGGCAATTAAAAAGCAATTATTGCACATGTCTGTGGCACCATAACAACACTTATATATTGTGCATGTGCGTCTCTGACTAGAAAAGGCATACATAAGTAATTTTGAGAACAGTAGTGCTTATCACGCTGCGCTGACCATGCGACGCTTGGACGGAAATGCGAGTGTTTCCGACGCTTTGCAAAAACGAAACGGTGGTGGCACCTACCCGTTGCCTTGCGTTCTACGCCTTATTACCTCTCAGATGGGCGAGCACACCCGTCTCAGAGCCACGCGTTTTGTTTTCTAAGACAACTGCCAGATGGCGCTTATTTCTCACGTGTTGTAACGTGTTGGGGGGGTGCTGACCCCCCCCCCCCCTGTAAAGTTGTCTGCGCCACGTGGCGCACGTGTCTTGCCCCAAGGCTTTATTTCGGTGGTGACCACCGCCGGGCGATAGATGGCTTTGTGTTCGCTTTGAGTACCACTCTTGGTAGAGTGGTAGCGCCGGCGGTGGCCCCTGGTAGAAGGCAGACCTTGGTGGTGGGCGAGCATTGAGCGAGTCTCTTCTGCGCGTGGCGGCTGCCGCCAACGGTTGTCTGTTGCGTGGGTCCCCGGTGCTCGGCACCGCGGGCTTCGCGCCGGGGTCCCACGTGGAAACTCAGGCGTTGTTGACGCCGCCTTGGGTATGTGTTAGGGTGTTGGGTGTGTTAGTGTGTGTTTACCATGTTATTGTGTGTTTAGTGTGTCATTGCGTTATGTTGTTTGTATGGTAGCGTGTTAATTAAAATTGATGTATCATTCGGTGGACAATATCGTCGTCTAAATTAGTTAATAAATGTATGTATGTTGTGTGCTTTGTACCGACCGTGTCGACTGTGTCCGTTCACTCCAAGAGCGTGGCGTGGCGATGCGTTCGATCGCCTCCGCTGCACGCTCGAGGCACTCTGACGCAGCGCCTCCAGTGAACTTTTGCGGTTTGACTTTCTCATAAGTCCTAAAGAAACTGCAAAAATCAGTGTACTACCATTTCAGTGTGCTACTAGTGTGCAGCTCATTTAAATGAACCAACTCGCCCAACAAGTCACTCTGCTGTGCAGCATTATTGACTCTGATCTCAATTGTGCCACAAGAACTGGCATATTAGGCATACAGCTCATTTAGCCGTGTTTAGCTTGACATGCAGGCTAGTGTGGTGAAGTGTTAAAATGAGCAGGAGTGCTTTCATCTCATACCGATTATCTGCTGCTTATTTAGCAACAGGTAATTGGTATAGTGGTTACTTCTAAAATGTGGCGCTCAACATTTCTTGTTTGATTTGATTTCTGTCACAAATACAGGTATTTTAATTTATAGGTCATTTCACAACGCAGTTTTGACAACCACCCATTGTTTGCTTCATGAAATTCACAATTATTGATGTTTTTAAATGAGTTATTTGGGCATTGCTATGAACTCCAATTATTGTATGGCAAATTTGATATCTGCTTGTAGAATACCAATAGCTTCTTCAAACTAGCATTTTTGTCTGCTACGAAAGCATTTATGGCTGCTCCGAAGCAGTACTGTTCTTTCTTCAAAGTTTGCTTGAAAGTGCTCGTGGTGTGAGAGCAGGTTTTGATGTCATTTCAAACTCATCGCTCCGAGAAACCTACACAATTACAGTGGCCATGTGCATCATTGGCTGCATTATGCTCACTAATTGAGCTGTAAAACAGCCGAGGTTGTATATAAGTTACGATGTGGCACAAAGAACTTCGATGCAGCTGAGCACTGCACATTACAGTGCTCCTATCAACTTGACTGATCGGGTGTAAATATGAGACGTTCTCGTTGTACTCATCATTAATTTAAATGGGACTACGCACGCAGCACCAAATTGAAGATTTCAAGCGAGACAAACTGGTTGTTGTTTTCCGACAGCGCCAAGCTGACACATGATTGCAGAACTCTTGTAGGCACCTCAATATTCACATCGTAAAAAAGTGGCCGTTCACCATAGACCCAAGGACTTGAGCAGCAAAGGCATGGCCCTCAACCGCCTGCTTTGTACCGCAAAGGTGGTCGATCAAGCGTTATCCTTGGGGTATATTCATAACGAAACTGTTTTTCAATGTCTAGAAGTTCGAAAGCTTCAGTGCAAACAGTGCTCAAGCCTGCACATGTGGCAGCGTCAAGACAACTGTGCATGCAAATGTGCTGAGAGTGCAGTTTGGTAAATTTCAACTGCTCATGAAGGCCTCCTTGCTTATGGTACAGGTGGCACTGGAGCGTGGCGAGAAGCTGGAGCCCCATCATAATCCCATCCATGACCAGAGATGGTATCTGAATCACGAGCTCCGCGAGCGCCTTTTTCGTGAATATTCCGTTAAGAGCTACGCTGTTGCCCAGTGACTTGGAGACGCAGTCTTTATACCAGCAGGTGCCCCACACCAGGTGTGTTATCATTCTTAGCTCTTAAATTGTCAATTGTGGATATGGTTATATGTTATGTGAACACATTATTGCTTTTGAGTGTGCACTTGGCAATGGCTAAAACATGAAGTTGCAAGCTTTGTTTACCTTTCATATAGGTGGCATGATGTCTGATGAATGAATATTCACGCTATCGTAATGCTTCTGGAGTGTAGCAATTGTCTAGGTATTTTATTGAATAGAGAGTTCATAAAAATTTCTCCCACCTGAAAATATTCTGGGTAGGAAATGCCCCTCATTAACACCTAAAATGCATAACATTGTGTGTAGCTGCACCTGTGCATAAATTCACGTGCATGGGGAACGTAAGGAAACGATAGGACGTTTTAATTGAACGTGGAGACCTAAGGTGAAGCAAATGCTAATATGTGGACTTCATTGCTTGCTCAATTAATTGAGGATACAGTCAAGCTCCGCTTCAATGCACTCCGCTTCAACGACCATTTGTCAATTCTCCTCGCCCCCATTCCACAAGCCTAATGTATTTAAACTTCCTCCACAACGAAGCTTTTTTTTATTGTTCCTGTGGTTCATTGAAATTTTCCCGGGACAAGAGTTACTCGACCAGCCACAAATCGAACCACGCTAACTAATAATTGAAGCGACTAAATTGTAATAAAAAAGTACACTTGACAAGGGCTGTCCTTACATTTCCTTTTTTCTTGTGCTGTTTTTAACAAGCATTTCTCATTAGCTGGTCCACATTGAAAGTCTACTTTAAGCATTTCCTTGATTATTTGACAGCTAAAATGACCGTAATCACACCAAAGTTGACCTAAACTCACGTGACCCGCCAAAAGCAGCAATGCCAATGACATTTCTGGTGCCATTAAAAAAAAGGAAGGTAAGGAAAGAACTACCTGTGCACCAGTTATTTTTTTTTCCCACCCGTACTCCTTGGTTTTACGAATCTCCCAAATTTGAAGGTTGCCAGCTTGGCAGAGCTATGTTTGAATTGGCACAGTATGTCAAATGATTCGACAGACGCGGCAAATGTTAATGTGAACTTCAGTGTTTTCTCAGTGGGAGTGAATGTGGCAAAACTTGCCGGAATTTTCCTTGCTTTGGTGGCCGCAAAAACACACCGCGAGGCCGACGTGAAAAAATCGGTTCGAGACCAGTTTTCCCGCCATGCGATAGCCTATTGCCTTTTTGCTTTGTGGCTTTGGCTTCGCCCGCTGCTCTATATCTCAAACCACGTGGTGTAAACAACAAGCTACCGATTCGACATGGCGGCAAAGGCATCGCTGGTGGATTGCTATCGTGAACTACCCGCGCAGCACCTCAGCTCATGGCCTTGACAAGGACGCGTTCATCGAGAGGCTGGTTTGGATTACGATTGCTGATGACACCGGAAATAGGAGAAAGTGCAGCAGCAACGAGTCGGCATGCCCCAACCTGTCTTGCTTTTTCACTGCCGGCTGAATCCAGCGCCGCCACTGTGTCCGCTTGTGTCATTTCTTCTGGCGTATCTTCCGAAATAACACTAGTGAAGGTGTAAATTGTTTAGTTGTTGTTCATGTAGTTGTTCTGCTCCCGAAGCCGGTTCTCGAAGTCCTGAAAGTTTATAAGCTTGTCCTCGAACTCGTCTGGAAACTACTGACAGATAGGTGTGCGCCACCGGAAGGAAAATCGTTTTCGTCTCGTGAATCGACGCACCCAAGAGTTTGGTGCACGAAACTCTTCTCTTGTGAGCCCAGCTTCTTGAGCGAGTTCCACAGCTTTCTTGCGAATGGTATCCACGGTCACTGGCAGCGAGCATGCATGAACTTAACACACAAAGTACCCTAGCGTATCCTCCAGCTGCGGATGAACCGCACTTTGCCCACGAAATGACATTTTCCGAGGATTGCACATCTGCAGCTTCCCTTTCTGCACCATCCAATAGCGCACGCTTTTTTTTTTTTATACACCAGAGCGGCGCTGAGGAGCCATATTCCATTTTGCTTTTGCGAACTCAACAAGGTCCAGTTTAAACGTAGCTGAGTACTGCCTTCTCGTACTGCTACTCATATTCAGTGAACGAAAAAAAAGACCACTAAAGATGAAACACAATGTCAAGCGGAGCGAGAATTTAGAACAGATCGGAGGCAAATCACGAACACAAAAAAAAAACAGGAAAGAGAAAAAAAATACTTGCTCTTGGATTTGAATGCGAATATGGCCGTGTCCAGCTTCTCATGCACATGCAAGCCACATATTGCCAGACAGTGATGCGCTGTCGGCTAGACACCTCTATATAAGATGAGGGGCAACTTTAGCTCGTTTTATTGAAAATATCTCGGCTTATATTCCGGTTTATACGGTACTTTCAATGAAATAGCTATGCTCTTGTTTAATCTTGGCGATTTAGATGGGTTGTATGTTTTGTACATAAATTTCTTTTCTAGCTGAAAGGGTTCCTTTTCATACTGCACCAAATTTGGATTTTTTACTCCAGAAGTAACAATTTGCTGTGTCCAATAGTTGCTTCTTGTTCTATTGTGGCTATTGCACCACTGATTGCGTTGATTGGTGGTGTCGCATAGGTGTCCAAATGATCCACATGAACTCATCCAAATTTGCAGCATTTGATTAACCACTCAGCAGCTGTAGAGATAATTTACAACACGAAATTTCCCTACCTGAAATTAATGTGAAAACTTTGCATGCCTTGCTGAGATTGAGTAACACGGAAATTTATCATTTGTTTTCTGACTTAGAGAAACGCAAGAACACAGACGTCTAATCGGGAGGGCTTTCACATCTTGGAGCAGTTAGGTTGTTCGCATTCAAATAATTAATAGCTGCATTGAAACCACATTATAAAACACCACATTTGAGAAACGAGCAATTGTCCTTGGTGCGTCTCTACTGGCATTATGTTTAACTGCATAACATCTAGCTCACTGTGCCTATACTATTAGCTGAAAGTTTCATAATAATGAAGAAAAAGTAAAACCTGCTGTATGAGCTATTCCTGTCATAGTCAGACCTCTTTTAAAGACACATGCACCGGGAAGCAACTCTTGCCTTTCATATGAGGTTTCTCGTAAAAGCAGGGTACTACGCATGCATTTGCCAATGAACTTCTATTTTAACGTAAGCACACTGGTGTTTATTAGGCTCAATAGTCAGCTGCATCAGTGTTTCTTATTAGGTTATGTTAAGTGAGAAAATTTCTGTGAAAATGCACACTTATCAAAAGGCACGGTTTACAGGTCGAAATAGCTATATTGTTTTTATTTAACATTCTGCTATGGTCCATTCGTAAAAAGGCACATTCTTATTTCCTCATAACATTGGCGGTCAGTTCCTAGCATGTTTTCATTGGTCGTAAATTCCAAAATAATTGCTGATATAGGGCTTGCGCTTATCCTAGTAACAGGCATAAGCTGTTGCACACAAGTCTGGTGGTAAGCAAAAAAAAAATCGAGACGAGCACACATTACCCCTGTTGGTACCCAACAGGGGCTGTTATTCCTCTCCCTACTGTTGGGCTTCCTTAAGGTAGTTCACACTGCTACACTAGTAATTGTAGTAAGAAATATGCCCTCACCCCCCCCCCCATCTTCTGAGGGGGGTAGCAAATTTGAATAGGGTGGGAATTTGGCATCTTTTGTCATGTTGACGACAATGTCATTCACATACTTCCGAAGTCTCCCGGATCTGGCCTGCCTAATCCCATCCAGGCTTTGTGCGAAACTATCGGGCTATCACAATGTGCAGTTGAACTCTTTAACTGGTGCGCTACAAGCAGCGATTCTTGCTTTTATTTGAGATATCTCTTATGAGCAGGGTAACTCCCATGCCTCTTCTTTTGGTCTTATATTTTAATACAGGCACACTGGTTTCTCTTATATCAGCGTCTCTTGTAAAGGGAAACTGTAATTTAACTCTTTCTAGCAAGGTAGCCACTCAAGGTAACCACCTTTTTTCGTTTTTTTCCTGTTCAAACACGTGAGGCCAGCACGCTAGATTTTCAATCGCGCATTTTTTAAAGCTTTCGACAGTCTGATAAAGCTGACGCTACTTAGTTTGGGCTTCAATGTGACATGTCACATTTGCTTTCTTCCAGCTGCTATTGTCCACAATGCACACTAGATGGTGGGCTCGATATATTTTTGATGATATAAAAGTATGTGCTGTACCTATCATGTATAGTGTAGAATATGAGTAGCTAACATTCCCGAACTAATAAATGAAAAGCTGTACACGGTAAATAGAGAGCGCCGTGTCAACAAAATCGGTGGTCACCTGGGGTGACCATCATGCATGAATACATATTTTGGGAGCGGGGGCTGTGGGCGCATTGACCATGGAAGTAGAAAGGGATGAACGATGACATGCTAGCAGCTAGCACTGAGCGGCCGCTGACACACCATCGTCATCATCATCATGATCGTGGCTTAGGCTTTGACGAGTAAAGACCTGTTGTGCTGTGCCTCGTTGTTCCTGGCCAGCCGCCGCCAGAACACAATACCGTATTTACACGTGTAATGGACCCACCTTTTTTTTTTTTCAAGAAAGTTGAGACTTAAATTTTGGGGGAGGGTTATTACACAGTAAAGGAAAAGTCATGGGAGTCATAACAGCGAAAATTTCGCATGTTTTTTGGCCTGCGAAATGCGCGATGAATTTTTTTAGTAGCCCGAAGCTCTTCCTGCTTTTAACTAATGTGTACAAATCGAGGCCGAAGTGTCATTCAGCGACTCAGTGCCTTATTACAATAGCCACATAAAAACTTCATTGCTGAACATGGAAAAATTTTCTTTGCAGATTAAAAATGTGATCTACCATGCTGTCAAGGATGCTTTGGTGATTCTAAGGGCAAATGCTGCTTCAAACTCCAACAAGAAATGAAATGTGTGTGCCATAGGCTGAGGAACTAAAAAAAAAAAGTTGGACCTCCTCCCAACCTTCAAAGGATCTTCGGCTAGCGCTTCTCTTGGATGTGTCTGGCCAGTCTTGACTTGCCCACC